TTTCCTATTTTATAAAGCAACATGAATAGAGCAATTATAATTTCTGTATTGGTGGTATTTTTTTGGTTACCGTATTTCACGAGAAGTGAAACAGCCCCAATTTCAGTCGACAAATTATATTATGGACAGAGAAAATTTTGTGTCGGCCTCCTCCATGCTTTTCAAAAGGTCCAACCAAACGAAACTTTATTTTTTTCCCCACACAGCATCTTTCGAGCCTTGCCATTGAACTATTTAATAGCTGAAGGCGATGTAGAGAAATTATCAAAGAAAACCTTACAATTGGACAGAGATTACTATGAGATATTTTTATTCATATGGGATAGAAATATCGCATAAAAATATCAGATATTTTTCATGCGTTGCGTTGTTGTAACGCATCTGCAGTACAAAATTCATATTCCTTTCTGCATTCCAAGTCAATTTTGCTGAATTCGGCTCGGGTCAGTCTCAAATTCGACTTGGAATGCAGAAATGAATATGAATTTTGTACTGCAGATGCGTTACAACAACGTAACGCATGAAAAATATCTGATATTTTTATACGATATTTCTATCCCATATGAATAAAAATATCTCATAGTAATCTCTGTATATTTCACACTCACATTCAATCGTTCAGTGCTCATTTCGGTACGATGTGAGAAATGTCAAAAAATCCAATTAGATTCAAGTTGAACTTTACAATATTATCTTATTGGCATCAGTTTGTTTATATTACACAGTGAAACCTTCGGATAAGCGACATTCGCAATAAGGAAGTGGAAGATGTGATGAAATGTAGTGCCGATCGACACATTAAAACAGTTCACCGTTTGAAGAAGAAATAAGTCACACGGTGTGGCTCACACATTCCATGGAAATATTTTCGACCTATTTAATATTTTCTAGCGTAAAAATTCATGACTCTCACCTTTAATTTAAGCTTTTGAATATTTCTGATTCGAAAAACATAGAAATAAAATGAAGAAGAAGAAGAAGAAGAATGTTGACTTTTGCAGCATGCGAAGATTTTGGCGGAGAAGGACCGAGTACAATCCCATTTTTATAAAATCTTATCTGTACTTAGGCTGTGTATATCTTTCGTTTTGAATACACTAGTACTTTATCAGAACCAACGATATATCAGAAAAAAACTTACCCCGTAATTTATGTGAGTACGATTAAGCTTATTAAATTGCGTTAAATTGGTCTAGAACTATAAAATCAGTATTGAATTGTTCAATGATGGAAATAAAAAAATCGCAATAATTAAAATCCAACTTTCCATTGAATAACACCTCAATTTCATTGGTCATTCATATAACCTACAGAAAAAATCTTTTATAATACCAGATAAAACATAAAAAAATCGCTTGGAATTAACTTTTTTTGATTCAATGAGCAAACAGAAAAACGATTTGCTCAAAAGTGAATTCAAATAAAAGACATAATCATGAAAAATGGCTATTAATTGGTTTCATTTTGCTTCTAATTTCAATCATTCAAATACGTCATTTATTTTTGCACAAACTTTCGTGCTGCGTCGCTGGCTACTTGTCCAATTGTAGCAGTTCCCTCCGATTTGTTTGTCCGTGATTGTGCAATCGGTTTGCTAAAGTCAAATACAAACCCTCGATCGGTGCCTATCCAAATCCGTCCAACACAAAAAAAAGAAAAAAAAAGATTGAAAGGAAAAATGAATCGGTGCCAACAACGAGAAAAAGTGAGACAACAACAAAGTGTAATCGATTCTCAAGGAAAAAGAAATTCCCGTAGCTAGGAGAGCTGGCATCGATTTTCTTCCCTTTCTCCGAATAAAACGATTTTCTTTCAATTGGTTTTCAACTACAATTGTTTTCTCCATACTTTCTTTATTAAGATTCTATTCGATTATTTGTTTCATAAATCCGTAGTTGTAAATGCTAATAAATCCATCAACAAAACTACAAATGACTATCCGTTCCATGTGTTTCTTGTGTGGGGCAGCACAAACAGAGAGAGAGAAAAATGTTATGATTATTATTGCATGTGTTTGTGTGTGTGAGTGCTGAGCACATGAAATGAGATAAAAACTTTGGCTCGACTTGTTTCGCTACTGTAAAAATAATTTTTCAAATAATGAATCATGCAATTTCGCACGTTGAATATTCCAATGATAAGAACAGAAAATTGGTGCTGGGTTTAACAAATAAAGATGATCATTTTTTTCTTCTTTCTTCGATTTTTATTGGAGGAAATGCCCTTAATGCTCTCTTGTTCTATACTCGGTATAAATTTTCTCATCGATGCGAATCGATTGCAAAAACAATTAATAATTGGGTTAAACTTGGTGTTTATTGCTACTTCACACTCTTTGCTTCGCCGACGTTCGGTTTCGATGTCGTCATATGTACTTTTGTCGTCATATCGTCGAAGGCCGCATCCTGGATGTTCAACATCAGACTATTAGCTGACAAATACACTTTGTTTTGCGAATTGGCGATCTGTTAGCGGCAGCAGCGAATCGGATTTTCAACCGAGACAAAGCGGGAAAGAGAAAGAAAGAGAGAAAGAAATTTGAATGAGAATTTAGGTTTGGAAGGCGATATGAAACGACAGAGGATAAGGATAAAGTAAAAAATGCTAATTACTTGCAAAGTGTGGCACTGTGCAGCAATCTTTGCCACCAAAAGTAGTGCCAATCGACACATGGAAACATTTAAGAGATAATTAATTACGCAAGCCACAGATTTATTGAAACACAGTTGATTCTGACACAAGGCATGAATGAACATTGGACAATTCTAAATACTAAATTGTTTACATTTGAATAAACGAACATAAACTTGATAAATGAGTTTGATGTTATTTTACAACTGTTTTTTTTTTCAATTACAGCGAAATCGCTCGATAAGAGACGCCCCCAATAGTGAATGCACAAATGACAATGTTCCCTCCGAATAATCATAATCAATTTAGAACCATGCGATCCCAATATTGCGATGTTTTACTATGTGTCTTTACATATATCAGATTTCAATGGGCAATTCTGAAATCATGTAATAAAATCTCAAACTTTTAAACTTTTCAACAGCAATAACATAGTTAGCTTAGACAACAATGTTCAAACGTTCTCATTGAACGTTAAGCATTGCACAACCATTCAGCATTCTCAATTCGAATGATTAATTTAAAAAAAGTCGTGCTCTACTCATTCGACTTGGTAAAAAAAGAAATTCTGCATGAATTTAACCGACATTTTTTAATTGAACTCAACGAATTTGCTCAAAACAGAGCTACTGATTGACATGAAGTGTATTATACATTCGGCAACGTTGTCAACTCAACGAAATGTCAAACAAAGAGCAACCGTGTGAGTCGCAGTATCAATGCTGTAGGATATGCTTAGCTTGTCATTGTTCAGTTAGTCACACAGTGGGGCAGACATCTTGGAAGACGATACGCAGAAAAAATCAATTCAATTTGCAGCCGACAAAGGCGACGACACACGTAAGAGTTGAACATTTTTTCATTACTTCTTTCGATATAAGGTTTGAAATCTTGTAATTCTGTTGTAAAAGAAACATAGCAATTAGAATTTTGATAATAATTGTCAAAGAATAGCTTTGGACGCAAGTGTACATTCGGCATGAACACGTGTTTTGCATTGAGTCGATTCATATGCATTCATGTTTAGTTTTTTATATTTTTCCGTACAGAAAATGGACCCGTTCAAAGGTATTTCTGGTGGACGCAGAAAGCGTAAGTCAAAGTCGGCGATGGTTCAAGTCAAGCAAGAGCTTGGTATTAAGGAAGAGCTCAATGGAAGTGACGATGTCGTGAACATACCACGGCCGAGAGTTAGTGGAAGATATCGTGCGAATTACGAAAGACCGGCCGACTTTGACTATGACTTCGATGAGGTAAAGGATGAAGTCAAATGTGAAGAAGAAGAGACGGGCAAAGAAAAGAACTCGACATCAAGTGAACGATCGAATGATGGTGCGGCCAACGTTGATGACAACGAAGAGTCTGTGGGTGACGCCATCGATGTTCAACCACCGCAGTCAGTCGGCAGTGGGAAGACATGGAATGGAAGCTGCAAAGGACGGCACAAACGAGCGATTCCCAGGAATCAAGCGGCCAAAAAGCAGAAGAAGCACAAATGCCATGTGTGCAATCATTTGGCAAGTGACAAGTCTCACCTCATAAGACACTTGCGAATTCACACTGGAGAAAAGCCGTATCAGTGTGATGTTTGCTCGAAATCATTTGCACAAAGGAGTAATCTGAACCATCATAAGAAAACGCATGGCCAATTCCGTTGCGCAAAATGTAATAAAGGATTTGAGCAGGAATCAGCCAAGATCGACCACGAATTGTTATGCAATCCATGTCGATTCGAATGTGATGTTTGCGGATATAGAACGATCAACAAATCAGATTTGACAAAACATATGCGAACTCACACCGGGGAAAAGCCGTTCATGTGCACAATTTGTTTCAAATCGTTTACAAGCAACGCTAATCTTCAAACTCATTCAATGACTCACAAAGATGAACTGCCAAATGCATGTGCGAAATGTGGTCGACGATTTACCACCCCGGAAGATAAGCAAGCCCATGAAATGCGCTGCCAACGAAGTCTTTTCGCATGTAATCAGTGTCATTACAAAACTGTCTACAAGGCTACTTTCAAGCGGCACATGCAATCAATGCACGGAGCCAAAAGATCGATCGAATGTGGAATTTGCGGTAAACAATTTGTTCAAAAGATGTATTTAAATCAGCATCTGTCTACAGCACACAGCGACCGATTCCCATTCCAATGCTCCAAGTGCTTCGAAGGATTTGCAACCGAAGATGCAAAAAATGCTCATGAAGCTAGCTGTGGCTACCGTCGGTATCAATGCCATTTGTGTAAAGAGCATCGTCGAGACAAACAAATGTTGAAGATTCACATGCGAAAACACCACACCGGAGAGCGGATTAAATGCGAAGTGTGTGCAGCAAGCTTTACCAAGAAAAGTAATGCCGTTAAACACATGAAAACAGTTCACCGTTTGAAGAAGAAATAAGTCACGTATTGCATCGATTGAATAAAATAACCAAATTGAAATCTCTTTTTTACGATTCCCAAAAGACATTCACAATATGATGAATATGAATGGCAAAAACAAGTATGCATCCGCTATAGAAATAACATTTAATATTTTTCAACATAAATATTCATAGTAATCGTTTTAGATTTAAGCTTCAATTTCGAATGAACAGAAATGAATTGAAACCGAAATAAAACGAAAAAGAGGAAGAAGAATGTTGATGTTTAATTTCTTGGTTTGTTTTTGCAGCAATTCTCTTGGCCAACAAAAAAAACAAATGCTTTTTAGAAAATGTGTTTTCTTTCCCAAACCAATTCTCCTCCACTGCAAATCAAGTTTCGAAATTTTAAAGTTCCAGCTCCAAAGTATGTCGTTCAGAATTATCGTTTTGCGAATGTTTGATTTGAATTGGTGTCTAGTTTCTTGTCTATTTGATCAATTCATTGCCGACACTTCATCCATTCGGTTTCTTTGCTTGCTTTCAATGATGATGAATATTTCGTAAAACTCATCTCCTTTGCACAAATGAGATAAATGTTAGCGGTAGAGTTGAACATTTCATTACTTCAAACTCAATAACAATATTTCATTTGCTCATCACATATTTCCAATTCGAATAGCATGATGATAGATGATCGCTATTTTCATAGAACAAAACGTTTATTGTCAAAATATTTACTTCGAAAAATTGGATTTTGAAAAAGAAAAATTGTTTGGAAATTCAACCGATATTTCTGAATTTGCTCAAAAGAGAGCTACTGATCGAAATGACGTGTATACACTATACACTTGGCGCCGTTGAGAACTTAACGAAACACACCAATACTAATAGCATGGGTGTCACTTTCGGCATTGATGCCGTAGCCTACAGACCGTACGTTGTTCTATATTATTCCGTCAACCACCGAGTGTGCTAGACATATTGGGAGATACGTGGAGAAAAACACATTTCGAGCAGAAAAAAGGCGACGGGAAACGTAAGTGTTTAACATTTTTTATTTATTCAGATGTCATTTTTTTGAGTATAAAATTTTGTGATTTGGTCGTAAATGTGGAAAATCATGAAAATCAATAGCCGCTCATCAAAATTGGTAACACATAACCCAACTTATCCGCCGATTGCACATGTCTTGAGTACTTTTTTCACATAGACGAGTTAAGCACATAGTTTGCATCACTTTTCGTTAGCATTGAGTTGTTGATACTTGATTTTGAATATTGTTTTGCCGAATCCAACAGAAAATGAATCCATTCAAAGGTGTCTCTGGTAGACGCTGCAAGCGCAAGTCAAAATCGACAAAGGTTGAAGTCAAGCAGGAGCCTGGTGTCAAAGAAGAACTCAACGACGATAACGATGTCATGAACATACCACGGCCGCGAGTTGATGGGAGATATCGTGCGAATTACGAAGGACCGTTCGACTTTGGCTATGACTTCGATGAGGTAAAGGATGAACTCAAATGTGAAGAAGAAGAGACGGGCAAAGAATGGGATTCGGTACCTCGTGAAAGGTCGAATGAAAGCGCCGATGCCAATGATGATGACAACGGGGAGCCAATGGGTGGCACAAGCGATGTCCATGTACCTCAACCAGTTGAGAACGGGAAGAAACAGAATGGAAGCTCCAAAGGACGAAACAAACGAGCGATTCCCAGGAATCAAGCGGCCAAAAAGCAAAAGAAGCACAAATGCCATGTGTGCAATTATTTAGCACGTTGCAACGCTGAACTCATAAGAAACTTGCGAACTCACACTGGAGAAAAGCCGTATCAGTGTGATGTTTGTTCGAAGTCCTTTGCACATAAACATCATCTGAAAGATCATAAGAAAACGCATGGCCAATTCCGTTGTTCAAAATGTAATCAAGGTTTTGAACAAGAATCAGCCAAGATCGACCACGAAGTGTTATGCAATCCATGGCGATTCGAATGCGATATTTGCGTATAATAAGCAATCACACGAAACGCGCTGCGAACGAAGTCTTTTCGCATGCAATCAGTGTCGTTACAAAACTGTTGTCAAGCAATCTTTGATGTGGCACATGCAATCAAAACACGGAGCAAAACGATCGATCAAATGTGGAATTTGCAGCAAACAATTTGTCAAACAGATTCAATTAAATCGGCACTTGTCAACAGCACACAGCGATCAGTTCCCGTTCCAATGCTCAAAGTGCTTCGGAGGATACGCAACCGAAGACGAAAAAGAGGTTCATGAAGATAGCTGTGGCCACCGTCGTTATCAATGCCATTTGTGCAGAGATTATTCTCGTTCCAAACAAAAATTGAAGTATCACATGCGAAAACACCACACCGGAGAGCGGATTCAATGCAAAGTATGTGCAGCAACCTTTGCCACCAAAGGTAGTGCCAATAGACACATGAATACAGTTCACCGTTTGAAAAAGAATTAAGTCGCACATCCCATAGAGTTATTTAAACGTAGCCGAATTGAGATCAATATCTCATGGTTTCTACAATTGATTGAATTCATAGCCTGATACACTTCAGAGACTTTATTTGAAGTATTCGAAATCATATCAAAATGACATTTAATATTTTTCTCATTACGAAAACTTCATGATTACCACCTTAGATTTAGGCTGCATTTTTGATTGAAACGAAACAGAAATAAATCGAAATAGCAACAAAAAAGAGAGAAGAGTTTTGACTTTAATTTCAGAGTTTATTTTTGCATAAAATTCTTCTTGGCTAACGAATGAAACAAAAGCTTTTTTTGCAAATGTGTTATATCAACAAAATCGATTTCAGCTCAAGTCGGGAATTTTGTAGCTCCAAAGCGGGAAAAATGAACCGAAATCGGGAATTTTCCAAATTCAATGAATTTTATAAATTTGGCCGCTAAAGCGAAAAATTCCCGAACAAATTGGGGGAAAATGATATCTGTAACCCAAAAATATTTATTTTACGTCACAAGAAAAAAATAACATTATGTAATTTTTGCAATTTCAACTTGAAAATTGACAAAAAAGACATACTCTGAAAATTAACTCGTTCTCCCAGAGTACGGAACACTTTGTATCTTTGTAGTATCTAGGCCATGTTATATGTCGTTTAAAAATTCTTGTGGAATACATGTGGATTTTGATATAAAACAAGGCTTCGTGATAGCATACCTTAGCACGCAGTATATTTAAGGCTCGGTATAATATAGCAGCATATCGCACACACACACACAGCTGTCGCACACACTTCTCTCGCACGCAAACGGTTGCGTACACAGCCATCGCAACCAACTCAAAATATATATTGACGAAATGGCCACATTACCAATTTCACTTTTTGTTTGTCATTTTGCAGTCGCCTCAACAAATATTCTAAAAAAGAAATCATCGACAATTGATATCAAATTTGCATTTTCTACTTTCTCAAGGAATTTTCTACTTTATCTAGATGTAAGTTAGCCTTGCAATATCCAATAATTTCAATCATCAAATTGATTGCATTTAACGAGAATAACGAGAAATGTTTACGAATCCTTTGTTTACCTTTGGTCACAACTCAAACTTTGGATTTTAACTGTAATGGCGCGATTAAAGATGTTCGGTTTCAACGGTGATTATGATAGTTGATGCTGTTTGTAGCAAGCTGTAGAACTGAACTTACCTTAAAGTACTATTATCAAAAACAGAGTGTTCCGAATTTTGGCATAGAATCGACGATGGTTCTGTTGATATGACGTACCAGTCGAAGCATAAACCAAGAAAAGGAAATGACCTCTAGTAACAAATCCAACAGCTGTAGACGACTATTTTCCAAACATCAAAAGCAATAGTAATAGAATGCGATTTCTAGTCGTAGAGTTCCATTGATGGATGTTACTTGTATAGCCATGAAGAAATACGTGGCCAAAAAATCGATAATCATTTTAAATTTACTTGCTGCAAGAGCCGACGAAATCCGGTAATATTCAATGGCGTTGATTCAGACGATTCCACGCAATAGGATCAATGACGAATGCGTGGGTAATAGAACATGCCGTAGAACAGCTACATTTTCAAAGTATGTTTCATATCATTGGAATATATTGCTGAGATCACTGGCTGGAAATGTATCGAGCATGAATTGAATGTTTGTTTTATTTTGAATGTATTTTTATTAACTGGTTATTTCATTGTACTTTTCAACTGAATTTGAAGAATGTGAATAAAATTCAAAAGAAAATCTCATTAAAAAATAGTCTCTTCCATTTGGGTACGTAATACACTTTCATTCGACAAGCGTGAAAAATGAAAAGATCTATTTTGTGATCGCTTGGTTCGATAAATGCTCAAACACACACCGGAAATAATCAAGCCCATCAGTAAAAGCTGAAAAATAAACAGTGGAAGAGAATGTTATATTTAAATATATCAAATCGATTCAAAATTAACTCACATGAAAAAATGTTGCATTTGATAAACCATATTCTTCCCATATAAAACATGGCAAAGTATGGCTGATTCTTACGGTTGAATTTTCCCCATATCTTTTCAATTTGTCACACTCAAACCGAAAATAGTTGTAGGTTCTTCCATCACTTCCACAGACTAGCCTTCTACCCATTAATATAAAGTCTTGGCACTTTTTGTTTGGATCATATACAGGTCGTTTAAATTTAACCATTTTGTACAATAATATTTCTGTGAATGTTTATTTTAAATGAACGGTGTTTTAATGAACATTTTTGTCATGGCTACACACAAGCGAATCCACGTACAAATTTCCCCTCTTTTATTCTGATACGGAGTATTACGCATACACTCTTAACTGGAATAAACATCAGTGTGACTACTCCAGTAGGGAACGAATGTATAAGTAGGTTTACAGTCATTCCCTACTGGAGTAGTCGCACTGATTTTTACTCCTATTAAGAGTGTATGCGTGATACTCCGTATCGGAACAAAAGAGGGGAAATTTGTACTGGAATTTGCTTGCGTGTAGTTAGTTATTTGGAGGGATAGAGATGCCATTTTAGATAGTCGTCACAAAATCAGCAACTATTTTTTCTGATCGGAAACTCAATATTTAATTGAATCAAGCGCATTTAAATTTTCAAAAATCATTTATTCGACTGCCGCTGTGATTAATGAAACACAAAAAAAATCAACACATTTGTCTACATTCAACTAAATATATGAAATGTCATCAAGCCTAATAGGATAGGCTTTACACGATGTATGTAAAATATAAAACATTTGAGTAGCTGAGAGGAAAAATGTCATACAGAAAAATTCCGAGGAAAAATATCATCCAACCTACTTGGTATCAACTTGTTATAATTATTTGATGCCTCTTAGGTTGGATGATATTTTTCCTCGAAATTTTTCTGTATGACATTTTTCCTCTCAGCCACTCATTTGTACCACTACACATGTAAATGGTGCGAATATCTGTCGGACACACATGTGTGATTCGACGCATAAGCAACTGATATCAATGGAACTAATGGTACCGACAATTGATGACGAGAACAGTGACGAACTGCAATTACCGAAAGAATCTACCAAATGAATTTAGAAAATCGTCTGTTTTTGAAATTTTGAAAAATGTTTTGATATTGCCGTTGTTTTTTTGACTTCAATTTAAAATTGAATTGCTAATTCGTAACGTTGGAAACGATTTTTGATTTTGATTTTCGATTTTCCTTTTGACTTTGTTTTACAATTTGAAACAGTACAAATTTTTTGCCAATTTTTTGTTTAGAACTATTAGAAATATTTGAAATTTTTGAAAAGTGTATTTTGATTAATGTCGGCTTGCTCTTAGGTAGACAATAAAAGCATATATTATTATCATTGTGCAAACATTCAGAAGTAAATACGAACTTATATAATTTTTATAAAGTCAGTAAAACACTAAAATGGAATGTATTACCATTTTCGAAATCGTGAAGAGGTTTTGTAGTATTTGTTGTCTAATATTTTTATTTGCGTTCATGTTCTTTATCACCACATACGAGATGTTCTACATTTACTACGAATATAATGAACGAGTAATGTACAAAATGTGTATTCTTTGTTATTAAATCCAGATTTACATTACATATTTTAAAATTAACGCATCTATAGGCTAAACGCAAGGAGCTATTTGAATATGTCCATAATATGCGAGATATTTGCTCATTTTGTATTTTCACCAAAGGTATCATCATCTGAATTGAAGTGGTATTTATGGTTTAACGATAGACATGATGATTTTTTTCTCAGTCTTATTTTCGGTGATTCTGTGCAGATTCCATTGGCGCAACCAACATCGATATATTGCGCTAATATTTAACGTTGTATATTTTATATATCGTGAAATGATTCATGGTGGATTCATTTGGGTACTATGCATCGCATTTTGGGTATCAAATGGCGCATGGAATATTTTTAGAGCTTCAAGCTTGATTTTAGCTGGAATTATTCTGATCTTTAATTCGATGCAGTGTACTTGGCTTCACATAAAATTTATTTACTGCACATTCAAAGGAGTAAGTAATCTTACAACTAATTTGAATTTCACACATAAGATTGTAATACGTATTTACAAACTATAAAATGGATCCAGGACTAAAAGCGTACAATTTTTATGAATATTTTTGAACTCTATTTTCCAGAAACCCGTTGGTCGTAGTTTGTTTCCTATTTCATACACATTTTTTATTTTAGTATTTATGATTTTATGTTTTATTCCTTCATTTTGGAGCTTCATACTTTATTCATTGGTGGCGACGATTTCGGGTAAGCAAACGGTTTAAAATATGTTCACAAAGGAATACATTCATATCAAAAGAAAAAAAACAATTGAAATTGAAAAAATTACATTGTCTTAGGCGCAATATTGTGGTTACCACGGGGCTTAGCAAGTCTTTTTAATGCATCAAAAATTCATCGAACACTTGGAACTAGAACTTTCCAAATTTATTCCGGAATTCTATTGTTTGTTGAAGTTTGTTTTTTACTCATAATGCATTTTACTGCAAACGATGAAAAACTGGATTTAATGTTCATGATAATATTGGATTATAGTTTTTTTACTCTCGGTAAGATGACTTTTATTTGCTATAATGTAAATACGTTCAAATATGTTTTTTTTCTTCAAATTCATAGTTTGTGTTGGGACGCTGGCATGCATCTTTTGTTCTGAAATGGGAAATGTTGACGAAAAGGAGAAATCCAAATTCGGGTGGGCAATGGAAATTATGAGGAAATATTGGGCATCAGCGTGGCAATAATTTTCTGAAATGTTAATAGAGGCAAACAATTGCTGTATCATTACCACATGTAGATGTACATTGAAATAAAACAAAAAAAAACTCCAAATTAATTAAATTTTCATTTATTCCATCATTTCTTTTACAACTTATGCAAAATACAATAAAATATCGTACATACTTCGTATGCAATCGACCAACATATTGACTGCTGAAGTAATCCATAATACGGCTCTTTTTGTCCTTCCATTTTTCTCGTTTGAATGTTGCATCTGTTGAGCGTTAAATTTGATGGTTTTAGACTTAGTTCGATAAAATTTTATCTAAATTCTGTCATACCCAACTCATCGCATATCTTATGCATTAATCCTCCTTCTGATAATTTCCATAAATGAGCTGGCATACACAATATAGCCGCTTGTACAATTCTTTGATAGACTTTATTTTCTTTTGATGGATTAAAACAACCGCTCGTTTGATTTTTGCATGTGTATGTTCCAACTGACCTGCAAAAATTGTCCATGATTGCCTTACGACCATTTCGACCAGTCCTATCGGTATAGCAATCGATTGATGTACGTAGTACATCCATTGTTGTTAAGAAAACCGAGAAAAACAGCAATAGAATTGGTGTAAATTCGGTATTCAACGTAAAATAAATATCCGATGTGTTGAAGTGTTTAACTTTCACCAAATTTATAATCGGTTTAATCATTTTATACATTTTTATGCACAATTTTTTTTTGTTTTCAAGACAAAAAACAGAACGCCATGATGAAATAGTGTCGAACGTGTGCTCAAGAGTGACAACATATCAAAACTGAATGCATGATAGCATTTCACCGGTCTTTGAATGGCAAAAAAGAAATCATGATTCACGCTCAACGAAAATTAATTTTTCAGGTCAGCATAGGTCATATTTACAAATGCATAAATAATTAAAAGATTTACATACACATAAATGTGCATGAACATGTGTTTGTGGCAGACGACACAGGCGCAAGTCAAAGTCGGCAAAGGTTGAAGTCAAGCAAGAGCTTGGTATTAAGGAAGAACCCACCAACGACGGTGACGATGTCATAAACATACCACGGCCGAGCGTTGATGGAAGATATCGTGCGAATTATGAAGGACCGATCGACTTTGGCTATGACTTCGATGAAGTAAAGGATGACGCAATCGATGTGCAACAACCGCAACCAGTCGACAGGAAGAAACAGATTGGAGGCGCTAAAAGACGAAACAAACGAACGAATCCCAGGAATCAGGCGGCCAAAAAGCAAAAGAAGCACAAATGCCATGTTTGCGATCACTTGGTACGTAACAAGTTTGCACTCAGAGAACATTTTCGAATTCATACTGGAGAAAAGCCGTATCATTGTGATGTTTGTTCGAAGTCCTTTGCACATAAACATAATTTGGTTCGTCATAAGAAAACGCATGGCCAATATCGTTGTTCAAAATGTAAGCAAGGATTTGAACAAGAATCAGTCAAGATCGACGACGAAAGACTATGCGATCCTCTCCGTTTCGAATGTACCGTGTGCCATTACAAAACTGTTTACAAGACCAATTTCAAGCGGCACATGCAATCGAAACACGGAGCAAAAAAATCGATCGAATGTGGAATTTTCCGAAAAGAATTCATCGAACAGATCAAACTAAATCGGCATTTGTCATCAAAACATAGCGACCAATTCCCATTCCGATGCTCCAAGTGCTTCGGAGGATACGCAACCGAAGACGAAAAAGAGGTTCATGAAGATAGCTGTGGCCACCGTCGGTTTCAATGCCATTTGTGTAAAGAATATCGTCGAGACAAATAAAAATTGAAGGCACACATGCAAAAAGATCACACCGGAGAGCGGATTCAGTGCAAAGTTTGTGCAATAAGCTTTATCAGTGAAGGTGATGCGGACAAACACATGAAAGCAGTTCACCGCTTGAAGAAGAAATAAGTCACGCATTTCATAGATTTGTTTGAAAATAGTTGTGCTTGAAATTAATATTCCATAATTCTTCCAAATAGTCACATTAACTTCTATTCTATGCACTCTAAAGACCTTTTGAACCATTTGAAATCATTTTGATTTAACATTCAATTTTTTATTGCTATAAATTCATGTATATGCACCTTAAGTTTAAGCTCTATTTTGAATGAAACAAAACAGAAATAAATCAAAATAAATATAAACAGAAAAGAGTGTTGACTTTGGTTTCACAGTTTTTTTTTGCAGAAAATTCTTCTTGTCTAACGAATGGAACGAAAGCTTTTTCGGCAAATGAATAATGTCAAAAAAATCCACTACGTTGCGTTCTAATCGAGTTTGTACGTTTTCATGATAATGTTACAGTTCCAAGGGGTGATATTGTACACAATTTCCAATATTGAAACGTTTCGTTTTAATTGATTATTAATTGTTATTTCCGCATCAGCTCAATTGGCTTACTTTTTCAGCATGAATGAGTGATGAATTCAATCTCATTAGACTTAATCCAATTTTCTTTTGTTGACTGTAGCATTTTTGCAGAAGTATCAACGAATAAGTCAGTCGCTAGTCGGCAAATAATTTACAATCGCACTTTTGATCACACAATTCACATATGCTCACTCTCATGTCCGATCATTCCATGTTCATCTCAAACAAGCGCGTTCCTTCTAATTAATATCTCATTCTGTGCGATGTGAGATATGCACAAGAATCCAAAATGATTCCAGTTCGATTTTTATAACATTAATGATAAAGAAAATGGATCGCGAGGCATAAACATTGGATTGAATTTCAAATACAAAATTGTTCACATTTAAACAAACGGACATAAACATAACGAATGAGTTCGGTGTTATTTTACAACTGATTTTTTTCCAATTACAGTGAAGTCTCTCAATAAGAGCCGCTCCCAATAGTGAATGCACACATGAAAACGTGTTCTCCAAATAATCATGAACAATTTAGAACCATGCCATTCCACTATTGCAATGTTTTACTGTGCGTCCTTATTTCAGCTTTCAATGCGCAATTCCGATATCGTGTGATGAAATCCCTGATTTTTCAAGGAAAATTTTACATAGTTAGTCTAAACTACAATGTTTAAATGTTCTTATTGAACATTGCGCATTGTCCAATCCTCCAGTAATCTCAATCCGAATGATCAGAATTTAAAAAAAGCCATACACAACATTAAATCTGGTAAAATAGAAATTTCGCATGAATTCAACCGACATTATTGAATTGAACTCAACGAATTTGCTCAGAAAAGAGCCACTGATTGACATGAAGCGTATACACGCGGAGACATTGTCGACTTAACGAAATGTCACACAAATAGCAACCGTGTGAATCGCAGTATCAATGTTGTAGGATATGCTTAGCTTGCCATTGTTCAATTAGTCACAGAGTAAGGCAGACATTTTGGAAGAGACGATACGCAGAAAATAATTGATTTCACGTTCAGCAGGAAAAAGTCGTCGATCGACGTAAGTGTTGACCATTTTTTGTTATTTATTTCCATTTTTGGCTCAGAATTTCTTGATTGTGTTGTAATTGTTACTTTTATCGATTGAGATATTCATGAAAATTGTTAAAGAATAGCTTTAGACGCAAGCGCACATTTGGTACACTGTTTACACTGGTACACACACGCGATAAACACGTGGTTTGCATCGAGTCGATTCAATTATATTAATGTTTGATTTTCTATTTTTCTCTCAAATCCAATAGGAAATGAACCCATTCAAAGGTGTTTCTGGTGGACGCAGCAAGCGCAAATTACAGTCGGCAAAGGTTGAAGTCAAGCAAGAGCCTGGTATTAAGGAAGAGCCAAATGGTGATGATGACGTCATGAATATACCAAGGCCGAGAGTTGATGGAAGATATCGTGCGAATTACGAGAGGCCGGTCGACTTTGGCTTTGACTTCGATGAAGTAAAGGATGAAGTCAAATGTGAAGAAGAAGAGACGGACAAAGAAAAGGACTCGACACCATGTGAACGATCAAATGAGAGCACTGTCGACAACGGTAACAACGAAGATCCTATGGGTCACGCAATCGATGTTCAACCACCGCAACCAGTCGACATCGGAAGGAATCGGAATGGAAGCTCCAAAAGACGAAACAAACGATCGATACCCAGGAATCAAGCGGCCAAAAAGCAAAAGAAGCACAAATGCCATGTGTGCAATTATTTGGCAAGAGACAAGTCTAACCTCAAAGTACACTTGCGAACTCACACTGGAGAAAAGCCGTATCAGTGTGATGTTTGTTCGAAGTCCTTTGCACATAAACATAATTTGGTTCGTCATAAGAAAACGCATGGCCAATTTCGTTGCTCAAAATGTAATCAAGGATTTGAACAAGAATCAGCCAAGATCGATCATGAAAGACTATGCGATCCTCAGATAGTCCGCCCATCTGTAGTGTGCTCCGTTTGTTTCAGATCGTTCACAAACAACGGTAATCTCCAACGTCATTCAATGACTTACAAAGATGAACTGCCGAATGCCTGTTCGAAATGTGGTCGACGATTCGCCGCTAGAGACGATAAGCAAACACACGAAACACGCTGTCAACGAAGTCTTTTTGCATGTGATCAGTGTCGTTACAAAACTGTTAACAAGGTCGATTTGAAGCGGCACATGCAATCAAAACACGGCGCTAAAAGATCGATCGAATGTGAAATTTGCAGCAAACAATTTGTCAAACAAATGTATTTAAATCAGCATCTGTCTACAGCACACAGCGACCAGTTCCCATTCCAATGCTCCAAATGCTTCGAAGGATTTGCAACCGAAGATGCAAAAAATGCTCATGAAGCTAGCTGTGGCTACCGTCGGCATCAATGCCATTTGTGTAATGAGCATCGTCGAGGCAAACACAAATTGAAGTATCACATGCGAAAAGACCACACCGGAGAGCGGATTCAATGCGAAGTGTGTGCAGCAAGCTTTACCACTAAAAGTCATGCCAATCGACACATGAAAGCAGTTCACCGCTTGAAGAAGAAATAAGTCGCACATCCCATGGAATTAATAAAACGTAGCCAATTTTAAAATAAACAGCTTCATACACATAAAAGACATTCTCATCGAGAATTTGAATCATAATAACGAGCATGCATCCGAAATAGAAATCATTTTGAAAGAACACTAAATATTTTCCAGCATAAAAATTCATAGTTATCGCTTTAGATTTAAGCCCCCATTTTGAATGAAACCGAAATAAATAGAAAAAGTGGAAGAAGAATGTTGCTTTTAATCTCTTGGCTAACGAAAGAAACAAATCCTTTTGGAGAATGGGATTTCTTGACAAAATCAACTCTGCATTACGAATCAAGTTGGTAAGTATTTATTGCGAATTTTCAGCTCCAAAGTATGTCGTTCACAATTCTCATTATTCAAATATTTGAATTGAATCGATGTTGCGAAATTTGCAGCAAACAATTCGTCGAACAGTTCAAACTGAAACAACACTTGTCAACAGCACACAGCAGTCAGTTTCCGTTCCGATGCTCGAAGTGCTTTGGAGGATACGCAACCGAAGATGCAAAAGAGGTTCATGAAGATAGCTGTGGCCACCGTCAGTATGAATGCCATTTGTGTAACGAGCATCGTCGAGACAAAAATCATTCGAAAACACACATGCGAAAAGATCACACCGGAGAGCGGATTCAATGCAAAGTATGTGCAGCAAGCTTTGCCACAAAAGGTAATGCAGATCAACACATGAAAAGAGTTCACCGTTTGAAGAAGATCTAAGTCGCACATCCCATAGATTTATTGAAACGTAGCCGAATTGAGATCAAATTCTCATGGTTTCTACAATTTATTGAATTCATAGCTTGATACACTCCAGAGACTTTATTCCAAGAATTTCAAATCATACTCAAATAGCATTTAATATTTTTCTCATTACATGAACTTCATGATTACCACCTTGGATTTAGGCTGTATTTTTGATTGAAACAAAACAGAAATAAATCGAAATAGCAACTAAAAAGAGAGAAGAGTTTGGACTTTAATTTCCGAGTTTATTTTTCCAGCAATTGCTTCTTGGCTAACGAATGAAACAAAAGCTTTTTTGGCAAATGTCTTATATCAACAAAATGCAATGCGTTGCATTGCAATCGAAATTGCACTTGTTTGCGATAATGTTACAGTTTTAAAGTGTAATGTTTTTCACAATTGCCAACATTCGTTTGATTTTAATTGATTTCCAAATGTTCAAGCCTCATTTTTGTGGTGTCTTCAATCACACTCCAAGTATTTTTGATAGCAAAGGGTAACACGATCGTCTAATGCGACTCTTTTTCAAGGAATTCTTGATTGGATAATGACACTCGCCAAGATACTTGATAGATGATTGAATGGCACAGAGCGATTCTATGTCATTTCAGTTTTCTTTATAAATATAAATATAAATATACAAACAACTGAAATGACATAGAACCTCTATGTGTATAGTGTATACAAGCCACAGCATTAATTCCATTCGCATAATTTATTAGGGAATGCGCTTTGTTTCAATTTCGTTAGCCCCAATTCAATTTTAAGCTGAAGTGTGGCATTTTTCCATAATGTCAACGAATAAGTCAGTCGCTAGTCAGCACATAAGTCATCGTCATCTGTCATTTATGCAGGCATATCACTCTCACATTCGATCGTTCGATGTTCACCCCAAACGAGCGTGTTCCCTCCAATAATACATCACTTTCAGTAATTTATCAGTAAACAGCTATTCTTTAAAAAAATGGAAAACAATTTGGAGCCATGTAATTCCACTGTTGTGGGCCTTTGCAATTTGTTTCCGTATCAATTTTCGATGCACAATCCCGGGGACATGTGATGAAATGTTGGAATTTTCATAATGTCTCTTTTCAATTCACAACGCTTGCGATCTATGTCCATCCACATTCCGTCAACAGCTCAATAAATATATTAATTCGCTTACTTCGCTAGTTTCTTATTTTGGCTTTGGAATTCAAAAATTCTCTAATTCAATATCTCACTGTGCATTGCTAAAGCCATGAACTTCTTTTGATTCGAATGACGAAATTATTTCAATTCCAAACGAACTGTGTTCAACTAGGTACAGATCTACTCATCGAGACGAAGTGTATTACACTTGGTTGTCAACTTAACGAAAGTCACTAACACATATACCAAGCATTTGCATCGCAGTATCAGCGGTATAGGATGTGCTGAGCTTGCCATTGTTCAATAAGTCGCAGAGTGAGGTAGACATTTTGGAAAAGACGATAAGCAGAAAATAATTATTTCCACGTTCAGCAGGAAAAAGGCGTCGATCGAGCGACGTAAGTGTTGAACATTTTTCGTTATTTATTTCCATTTTTGGCTCAGAATTTCGTGATTGTGTTGTAATTGTCACTTTTATCGATTGGATGTTCATGGAAATTGTCAAAAAATAGCATAAGACAGAATTAAATATTTGGTGTGTACTTTTCTTGTGTATTTATCTTGGCCACACTCGCGACAAACACGTGGTTTGCATTGAGTCGATTCAAGTTTACTTTTACATTTTTTCTCCTGAAATCCAATAGGAAATGAAACCATTCAAAAGTGTTTCTGGTGGAGGCAGAAAGCGCAAGTCCAAGTCGACAAAGGTTGAATGGAAGCAAGAGCCTGGTATTAAGGAAGAGCCCAACAATGGTGACGATGTCATGGATATACCTCGGCCGAGAGTTGATGGAAGATATCGTGCGAATTGCGAAGGACCGTTCGACTTTGGCTATGACTTCGATGAGGTAAAGGATGAAATAAAATGCGAAGAAGAAGAAACGGGCAAAGGAAATCACTCGACTCCATGTGAACGATTGAATGATGGCGCGGCCAACGATGATGACAACGAACTATTCATGGGTGATGCAATCGATGTTCAACCACCGCATCCAGTCAACAACGAAAAGAAACGGAATGGAAGCTCCAAAAGACGAAACTGACGAGCGATTCCCAGGAATCAAGCGGCCAAAAAGCAAAAGAAGCACAAATGCCATGTGTGCAATCATTTGACACCTTGCAAGTCTCACCTCATAATACACTTGCGAACTCACACTGGAGAAAAGCCGTATCAGTGTGATGTTTGTTCGAAGTCCTTTGCACGAAAAGGCCATCTGAACTGTCATAAGAAAACGCATGGTTTAAAGCATCAATTCCGTTGTTCGAAATGCAATCGGGGATTTGAGCAAGAATCAGCCAAGATCGATCATGAAAAACTATGTAACCCTCTTCTACTCGAATGCGATATTTGCGGACATCACACTGCGGTGAAATCTAGTTTAGCAATACATATGCGTACTCACACCCGAGAAAAGCCATTCGAGTGCTCAATTTGTTTCAAGTCATTTACAAGCAACGCTCATCTCCAAAGTCATTCAATGACTCACAAAGACGAATTGCCAAATGCCTGTTCCAAATGTGGTCGAAGATTCGCCGCTAGAGACGATAAGCAAACACACGAAACACGCTGCCAACGAAGTCCCTTCGCATGTAATCAGTGTCATTACAAAACTGTTCACAAGCATTCATTGAAGCAACACATGCAATCAATACATGGAGCCAAAAGATCGATCAAATGTGAAATTTGCAGCAAACAATTTGTCAAACAGTTCAAACTAAATCAGCATTTGTCAATAGCACACAGCGACCATTTCCCATTCCAATGCTCTAAGTGCTTTGGAGGATACGCAACCAAAAACGAAAAAGAGGTCCATGAAGACAGCTGTGGCTACCGTCAGTATCAATGCCATTTGTGCAAAGAGCATTGTCGATCCACACAAATGTTGAAGATTCACATGCGAAAAGATCACACCGGAGAGCGGATTCAATGCAAAGTGTCTGCAGCAAGCTTTGTCACTAAAGGTAGTGCCGATCGACACATTAAAACAGTTCACCACTTGAAGGAGAAATAAGTCACACGGTGTGGCTCACACATTCCATGGAAATATTTTCGACCTATTTAATATTTTCTAGCGTAAAAATTCATGACTCTCACCTTTAATTAAAGCTCTTGAATATTTCTGATTCGAATAACATAGAAATAAATTGAAAAGGAAATAAAATGAAGAAGAAGAAGAATGTTGACTTTATTTTCGACGTTGACTTTTGCAGCATGCAAAGATTTTGGCGGAGAAGGACCGAGTACAATTCCATTTTCCTAAAATCTTATCTGTACTTAGGCTGCGTATATCTTTCGTGTTGAATACACTAGTACATACTTTATCAGAACCAACGATATATCAGAAAAAAATTTACCCCGTAATTTATGTGAGTACGATTAATCTTATTAAATTGTGTTAAATTGGTCTAGAGCTACAAAATCAGTACTGAATTGTTCAATGATGGAAATAAAAAAAATCGCAATAATTAAAATCCAACTTTCCATTGAATAGCACCTCAATTTCATTGGTCATTCATATAACCTACAGAAAAAATCGTTTATAATAGCAGATAAAACACGTAACTTGTTTTTCGGATAGAAAAAATCGCTGGGAATTAACTTTTTTTGATTCAATGAGCAAACAGAAAAACGATTTGTTCAAAAGTGAATTCAAATAAAAGACATAATCATGAAAAATGGCTAACAATTTGTTTTTTATTTCACTTCTAATTTCAATCTATCGAATGCATCATTTATTTTTGCACAAACTTTCGTGCTGCGTCGCTGGCTACTTGTCCAATTGTAGCAGTGCCCTCCGATTTGTTTGTCCTTGATTGTGCAATCGGTTTGCTAAAGTCAAATACAAACCCTCGATGGGTGCCTATCCAAATCCGTCCAACACAAAAGAAAGAAGAAAAAAAGATTGAAAGGAAAAATGAATCGGTGCCAACAACGAGAAAGAGTGAGACAACAACAAAGTGTAATCGATTCTCAAGGAAAAAGAAATTCCCGTAGCTAGGAGAGCTGGCATCGATTTTCTTCCCTTTCTTCGAATAAAACGATTGATTTTCAATTGGTTTTCAACTACAATTGTTTTCTTCATACTTTCTTTATTAAGATTCTATTCGATAATTTGTTTCATAAATCCGTAGTTGTAAATTCTAATAAATCCATCAACAAAACTACAAATGACTATCCGTTCCATGTGTTTCTTGTGTGGGGCAGCACAAACAGAGAGAGAGAAAAATGTTATGATTATTATTGCATGTGTTTGTGTGTGTGAGTGCTGAGCACATGAAATGAGATAAAAACTTTGGCTCGACTTGTTTCGCTACTGTAAAAATAATTTTTCAAATAATGAATCATGCAATTTCGCACGTTGAATATTCCAATGATAAAAACAGAAAATTGGTGCTGGGTTTAACAAATAAAGATGATCATTTTTTTCTTCTTTTTTCGATTTTTATTGGAGGAAATGCCCTAAATGCTCTCTTGTTCTATACTCGGTATAAATTTTCTCATCGATGCGAATCGATTGCAAAAACAATTAATAATTGGGTTAAACTTGGTGTTTATTGCTACTTCACACTCTTTGCTTCGCCGACGTTCGGTTTCGATGTCTATTTCTTACTTTGTACTTTTGTCGTCATATCGTCGAAGGCCGCATCCTGGATGTTCAACATCAGACTATTAGCTGACAAATACACTTTGTTTTGCGAATTAGCGATCTGTTGGGCGGCGGAGAATTAGATTTTCAGAAAAAAACGGGAGAAAGAGAAAGAGAATTGAATTAGTATTTACATTTGGAAGGCAATATTTGGAACGAAAGAGGCAAAAATGAAGTAAAAAATGACAATTACCGTGCGTGCAATGCTTTGGGCAGCTCGGATCTTTCTTAATTTCAAGTAACCTGGATTACGGGCGACAGCTAAACCTAAGTAAACATATCGGTCAAGGAAAATATTTGTCAAACAAAGAAGTTCCATTCGAAATATTTTTCAAAACGGGTAAAAAAAATTGAATTTAAAATCGGAAATTCCATGAACAGATTGAAAAAAGTCCAATAAAAATATTTAAAAAGTCGTAATCATTCAAACAAATCACAAAAAATGGTTCTCAATTGGAAAATTTGGGAATTGATTGAACCAAATTCGAAAAATTGATACAAAACTTCTAAAAATCGATTCAAAAACGAAAATTTGCTTTGAATTACCGCGAAAAATTGATGCAAAAATTGAAAAAGCAAGCAATCGATAGAAAAATGGAAGAGAAATATTTTGAATAATGCAGAAAATTGAATAGAAATGTAAAGAAATTGATGAAAAATGTGAAAAAAAATTTAAAAATTTGAAAAATGTCTAGAAACATGTAAGAAAATTAGTGAAAAACCAAAGAATCGATTTAAAAACGCGTGGATTGTCAAAACGAGGAGAGTTATTTGGAAAATTGTATGAAATTCCTTATTTATGGTGGAATGTAACATCATATAAGATTTATCTAGAGTTGAAATGTGTCATTTTTGAGAAAATTGAAAAATTCGCTTTTAAAATCATCAAAATGTTGCGAGATGAAAAATAATAATCGAGAAATTGCAATAAAAAAAAGAGCAACTGCCGATGGTGTCGTGCATTGTATTGAAAAAGGATATCATTTTGGCTGCTTCAGCTTCTCCCTCGGCTTGTACGATTTTCTGTTGTTTCTCTTGAACGGCACGTTCAACGTAGAAGGCAGCCCGTTGTGCCTCTTGTTGTGCAACTTGTTTGGCCTCAACAGCGGCCGTGTATTCTTTGCCGAAACTCAATTCCGTCAACGATACATCGTCCAAAATAATGTTAAAATCACGAGCCCGTTCAACTAGCTCCCGGCGAATCAACAACGACACCTGAAATGAAAATGTAGCGAAAATGGGTGAGATCATTGTTTCAATTTAAAAATGCGTGGAATTGATTTCAAAAAGTAAAAAAAGGTGAATAATCGAATTTGAGAGTGAAAGAATAATATATTTAGTTCGACTGGAACAAATAAAATTATTTAGCGAAAAAAAATTATATTTGCTTTTAATTACACAGTACAACAAAAAAAAAATAACGCACAATGGCATATCAGACATGAAAGTATTCCTATAGA